AAGATTTTTAATTTTCCTTTTACTAAAAATGCATTGTCTGTCATGATAAAAAAAAAAGGCTGACTAGCTGCAGATTATTACAGAAATAATTGAACTGACTGTGTACTGCATTTTTAAGGGGAGGATTTATCTCTATACATTTATAGTATCTTGCTGATATTAGTAATTTGGCACTTTTTCTTTGTCTCTTCCTCTTTCTCTGAAACTCCAAGCAGTGATTTACACATCTAAGTTCTAGTCAGGCACACACCATAAACTTATACCAAATGATTTTTAAATTGGTCCTCTCTAATGGTTAGGTCAGACTAACACCTGGTTTCAGATAAAGTCATATCTTTGGCTGCCTTTTCTCTGCTTCTCCCTCCTTTCTTTCTTTCTTCCCCCACCACCCACCATTAGTGAAGATAATTAAGAGAGATAATAAATCACACAAAAATCACAAAGATTTAGGATATGTTGAGATCCGAATCAATCTCACCATTTTTTGCAGAAACAAGCATGGGCAGATGTGAACTTCTGACTAAAGCAGCAATGATAAAGCTCCAGTCATCTTTGAAAAAATATCTTTTGGAACAAAGAATAATTATTCGAAAAGCAATGGAACTCCCATTAACTGCAAATCGTCTATTGGTCAGAACTGTTTTATTTAGCTCATGTTTTTGGTGCATCTCTGCTGTTCTGCTGAGCTATTTACTCATATCCAAAACAGTTTTGTATAGGTTGAACTGCTGCAGAATCTCAATAATTTGAACTGCCTTGAATTATGGAGGAAAGAGGACAGGTAGTGAAATCCACCTATATCCTCCATTTTTCCCATAGTTCTAACCAAATCAGGGTCCCTGTACATTTCTGAATCCAATATGCTTCCTATCTCAGTACATAGTATGCATTACAGCAGTAGGACACAACAGACAGAACCAAGCTCTCTTTACAGTTTAAGTTGATTTTTTGAACTAGTACCTTCACTACATGAGGTAGGTGTTTTTTAATCTAGGTCTAGCAACCTTCCCAAAGAGCATTCAGCCTATGCTTAAGAAGCTTATCTTGTGCTCTTTCAAAGCTGCAAAGGGGCAGATTCCTCCTTGCAGTCCAGGCCAAACTAGCATGGAATTCAGTGCTCCGAGGAAGCATGTGTCAGGGTTCTGACCGATGCCCTGCAGCAACCTCAAGCAAGTGTATGGCAATTTGCCACAGCCAACTCAACATGGTCAACTCAATATGGTCATCATGATCAACTCAACATGGGACATCTCACTGCAGGACAAGACTTACACTAATATCAAAGAAATGGTGGAATAGAATCAATAAGGAAGGACAGAATGAAATGGGAATGAAAAAGGTTAAAATATTTTTTATTTATTTTAAATCATTAAAAATGAATTGTCAAATTATCCCACGGCAAATTGTCCTGCAATGAATTGGCCATGGCAAGTTGTCCCATAGTAAGTTGGCCGTGGTGAGCTGGCTGCAGCGAGTTGTCCCATTTCAACCTCAAATGGATAGTAGGAGTAGGGTAAATCTCAGATCCTGATTTATCTTCACCAACATCACCAATGATGTGCTACAGGTCAATAGTAGAGCAAGGTATCTGCCAGAAAAAAGGGAGCTTTTAAATTATGAAGACAGCTGCCACTGTGCTGGATAAGTGATGAGATGAAGGTGTCTTCATAAAGATATGAAGCCTTTTAAAAAAGCCTTTTAAAAAAATTAGGGTGGAATCTTCATGCTTAACTAGGTGGACCTGAGGATGACCTCCTAGTCCTGTGATGGTGAACCCATGGCACACAGAGCCATTTCTGCTGGAACACATGAGGTCGCTCGGAAGAGCTTCACTGCACACACGCGCACACATTGCCACCTGACAGCTGATTGTTGGGAATCTGGTGTGCATGTGCGAAGGTGGGGTGTGTGGAAGATGCATGAGCATGCACAGAAATCTGCAGCACATGTAGGGGTCTCATGCACATGCGCAGAGATGCATGGGGCATGGGGCATTCTCATGCACATGCACAGAGATGCACAGCATGGGGGTCATGTGCGCATGAGCAGGGGACATCGGGTGGGCCAGGAGGCATTGCCTTCTGGGTGCTGGCACGTGAGCGTGCATGCATGAGCGTGAGTACAATTTTTGGCATGGGAGCCAAAGAAGGTTAGCCACCACTGTCCTAGTCATTACATGCAGAGCATGTAAGTTCTACATGTTATATATATCTGTATCTTTTCAGGCAATTGTCTACATTTACCCAATCATTTTTCAACTTCAAAAGTTCTGAAAAATCAAAAACTTTGTTTATGATTCCGCATCTTCAATTCAAACATTGCTCCTTACCTGTAGGTAATGCTTTAGACTCATGTATAAAGATCCCAAGTCAGAAGTCTTTCAAACATCGCCAAGTTTTCCCCGCTGCAAAAACAATTGCAGTTCCCAGGGCTCTCTTCTCTAATATTTATATGAAATGATGTCGAAGGCCTTGGCAGCAGGGCAGGATGCTAAAGTTGCATCTATAAACTCCCAAAATGATAAAATAAACTTTTTTACGTTTTAATTAAAAATGATGGACTTTGCAAGATTATGACATCCCACAATACTTTTTGCTTTCTCTTAAGAGATTTTCCCCATTTTTGTATGAGATAGTGAAATTTTGGAGATAAGATTATGCAAAGGTGTTAATATCTATTAGGGTTCAGCTTTCCATATTTGTTTTTATTCTTTATTTATTACAGTGGTGCTGGGGATCAGATTTCTTGATTTCACCTGAAATGGTGCCATCTTCCATCTTAAACAGGAGCCTAATCTCAGGACAGGTTTAGAACTGAAAAAATATTGAATTGTTTTCAACCACATAGCTTTTTATGAAAGAGGATGAATATGAAGTATGAAAATGGAGGATTCAGATATTTCTGAATAGGCCTAAAATAGGAGTGAATTTGAAAAATGTCTGACAAAAGTGTGTCTGAATCAAGTTTGTATTTGGCAATTATGATTGTCAGTGTACCTCTGCTCGGGCTTTGATTCGTGGCAGCTAACATTTACTTAGTATAATCAAAGTCATGTAAATTACAGTATGTGCAATTGGGTCCAGAATTGCTGGTATTTTCAGACAGTGTCTTTTTTTTCTGTGTGCTCACATCTGCCCTTTCTATAATTTCTGCTTTTCAAGCTTTGAAATACAGAATTGAAGGCAAGGGGTCCAGGTAACAATCTGAAATTTGAAAAGTAGTTCAGTGTGATAATGGGGGAAATAGCTTGAAGGCCTATATTCTGGGTGGGTGTTGGTAAGGACAAAACAAACAGAAAATTAAGCAAACTATTGAAACATCTGATCATTTTCCAGCTCAGTCAGTTCAGATTTTTCACAACCCAGGTATGTGCAGGAAGGTAATGTGGAAGGTCTGTAAAGACCTCTTGTATCACCTGCAGAGATCCCAAGAGAAAGATGTCTTGCCTTGTCTCAAAATAATTTTCACAATGAACAGTTTCTGACAGTGATGAACTTGTGATGAAGAAAGGTAAAGAGTGATCTTATACTTCCAGGTATAAAACTAATGCTAGCCCTGATCTTTCCAAACTTGGAAATATAGGATCTCTATTTTCCTGAACATAACTGCCAGGAAAGGAATATTTGGGCTTCCAGTCATAAGCATTCAAGAAAGACAAGTACACACTACAAAGTATTAAGAGATCAGGATAGAAGCTGATCACTATCAAGGGCTTTCTTAGTAGATGGAGATCCATTAGTCAAGCTCATGGCATTATGTTGCTGGGAATTGTAGATATTTTTATGGGTTCTTCCAATTAAAAGGTCTCTTCCCAATTCCCTTAGGGCTTAAGCCACAGGACTTCTTATTAGATTGCAACCATCATCTAAAATATTCTTCTGTAAAACACAAATAATCGTATGCTACCTTGTGTTGAAAGTATGAATAATGTAACAGACTACAATGATGCATTTTGTATGTAAAAATTGATTTATGCTTAATAATTAAATTGCAAATAGCATTTGCTAATCCTTAACTACAGAAGAAGGTGATGACCAGATCTGAGCTGACAGAGAAGTTAACAGAACTGAATTGACTTCACTGTTCCACATGAATTTGTTCTTAATAATCCCAGGTTACTAAAGCAATTTATTTTTTCCCATTACCTTCTTTTTTCCCCTTGTAAATCATTTGTTGGCATCATTCAGAGTCAATCAATTGCTTCAATTCGTGCTAACATGTCCTTAGAAATATATTATAACAAAGCCAAAAGTTCAGGGGTGGGAGATAGAAGAAAAACAGCAATACAACTTAGGGATAAATCCAATAACAACCACTTTTTTGCTCGATGCTTTGACAAAATTCATGATTTTGGAACCCTTTGGTTTTTTTCATTTCTTTTTTTTATGACACAACTTCATGAATCCAGTTTACTTCCGTGGGAATTTATTTCGTGTAAATGTATTCAGGGTTCCATCCTTAGAATACTATAGTATGAGCTTAGGATAGTTCTTGAAGATGTTCTATAAATTAAGCTAGTGCAGATGAATTTTATCTGGTGCATATAAAAGTTTAGCTCAATATTTCCCCCTCATTTGAAGATGCTAATGCTTTCCTAAGAAACTTCTATTGCTGGAGTCTCAGAAAGATTGACACTGAAGGAATGGAACTTCTCACAATAGTCTTGCTGGATACTATGGTTATCTGACACAATCTTCCTCTGAGCATCACAGAGATTTGAAATAAAAGTGAAGGGAATGAACAGAGAACTTGACTTTATGCAACACAACACTTATTCAGAAACCACCCCTCCATCTTTAGCAGGATTTATTATCAGGCAGATGTTCAAAGAATGAGAGCTTCAGTTCACAAGTAGGAACACTGTGCATGGTGGTTAAGAGACACAGTTGTCTTTTGTACCTGCTTGCATTTGGAGATTTTAGGAAATAAAATGCAAATGATAATTCTATTGTTACTTTCTCACTGTGCTGTTTTCCTTTTTTTTTTTTTTTTAAACCCAGTGAACAGCATTAAACACATAGTAAGAAAGTATCGTGGGCATCTTCGAGCGAAGATTGAATCAGGAGAAGGAACCATACCAGCTCGATGTACCAATGGAATTCAGACATGGGATGGCGTGTTGCTGGGGGAACAGCTAATCACAATGTCTTGCACAGACAAAATTGCCAGGTAATATTTTAATGAAACTGAACAGCAGAAAGCAGTGAGTGTGGCAATGATGTTAATTAAATAAATCCTAAACAAATTCTAAAGAACTTCTTTAGTGTTGCCATATAATTGCATTGTTTTAAACCATTGTGTTAAGGTTGGTTTGAATATAGATAGATAGATGATAGATAATAAATAGATGATAGATAGATGATAGATAGATAGATAGATAGATAGATAGATAGATAGATAGATAGATAGATAGATAGATAGATAGATGCTTTTCATAGATTTACATGTCAGTAATGTATGATTTACTTATGAGAAAGATCACCTGTGCATAGGTGATTTTTCAAACTCATCTGAATTTTTTATATTCTGAATTACCAATCAGTGACACTAGTTGTGTAGTCCTTATGCGCTGTAGACATTTCTGATGTGTGTTTTAGAATGTGCCCAACAGTATGTGCCCGCTGTGGAACCAGTATAGAAATATTGCACACTTGCCAACATGTCTTCCAAAGAAGTTGCTCAGAATTAAATGACCTTATCACTGTAACTTAGAAACAGTGTTAAACTATGATAAATCTATGCTGAAACAGAGGAAGATCATCTATCCAGGCCAAGAGGGTAAACTATCCCCTTCCCTAACTGTATGTTTGGATTCTGATGAGGGGGAAAAAGTTTCAGTGAAACAAAACATTCTACTCATGAGCCACAGTGGTGCAGTGGTTAGACTGCAGTACTGCAGGTTACTTCTGCTGATTGCCAGCTGACTGCAATTTGGCAGTTCAAATCTCACCAGGCTCAAGGTTGACTCAGCCTTCCATCCTTCTGAAGTGGATAAAATGAGGACCCAGATTGTTGGGGGAAATATGCTGACTCTGTAAAGGGCTTAGAGAGGGCTGTAAGGCACTGTAAAGCAATTTTGCTATTATAAATCACAGCTATATAAAAGAGCTGTTGCCTACTTAGATATTTGTTTGTTATAAACATTTCTTGCTTATCTGACTAATGTGCACATTGTTATCTGTAATGTTATGCTGAGCAATACAACCAGTTGTCCCTCTTAGTCCAAAGAAAAAATTAAATTCGAATTTTGCAAAATTTTGCTCCTTCTGGTTCAGCACAATACTGGATTCTTACATGTCTTCTGCAGAAAATATTTTAAAATAACAGGCCACAAAAATAGCACCCAACTAATAAATTATATCTTTGAATATATGGTTGATAATAATGCAAAGGCATGAAAGCTGGCTGGATGACTTTGGTCCAATCACCAGGCGATTGTGAGTTGTAGTCCTGCCTTAGGCTTGAAAGCCAACTAGATGAGTAAAGGCCAATCTCTGTCTTTTGACTCACCTCACCTCACAGAGTCAGGTTGAAAATAGAAATTAGGTAGACTTGCTGCCTTGAATTATTTATAAAAATAATGATGGTAAGATAAAAAGTCTAAAAATATATAAATGAATAATCAACCATGTATATGTTTAATTTTACTTATACATTTTCTACAGTTATGCAATTTACAATAAGATAATAAGATCCAATAAAAGGTATTCCACTACTTCAGTGAAGGAAAGTTTCCTTTTTATTTCTTCCCTCTCCATTAGGCTTCATTCAGATAGGGCTAAATTAATAATTTAGTGTGGGACACTTATGTACATAAATTAAGTTCTGTGCAGAAGAGAGCAGTGATGCATTACAGGAAAAAAATGAATGTTATTTTGCTGTAAATAGCACAAAAATATTTACCTTAAAAGTTTGCAGGTTTACAAAATAATAATCTGTTTAAAATCAATGGTATTGTCCAGTCAGGATGTGTCTTCACCTAATTGATCCAACTTTAACAATTATGCATGAGTCTAACGATACTACATCAAAATAATGGAGCGCATGTGTAATGAAACAATCTCAAAACAGCATTAGATCAACAATTTCTCTAACATTTAATCAGAGAGGTAAGGGAGAAGCTTCTAGTGCTATTCTCTCACTGTTTCTGAATACAACCCAACTTCTCAGATGAGATTTCAGGAAGAAGAGGACAACTAAATCAATTACGGCTTCCCTGACAAAATGTTGCTGTCTCTGTTTTTCTCGGTGTCAATACATAATAAATTAAATATCAACTCAGGAATCAGATTATATTTTAATATTGATGAAAAAGTCAGTTTCAGTACTGAATGTCTAAAGCTGCATTTTCTTCAACTAATGAAAATCAGATGAGAATTTGAACTTCTCTACAGACTGCTGCAAAATAGTGTGATATATTATCATGCTTGATTCCAGGATCAAAAGACAATCCACCAACTTAATATTCAAAAATCCTAATGGTTAATATTTTTATTTATTTATCACATATTAATATATTTGTGCCAAGGGCTTTTCAGTCAGTTCTACACCTGTTAAAATCAGAGAAGAGATGGCATGCTGCATTGTGGTTTCTCTTCAATTTGTATAAATCTCAGCATTTTTTTCAGGATTCTGTCCATTAGCCCTACTGACTGGAAATTACTAAATTTAACACCATCCAAAAAACTGACCATGAAATGCAAATCTACCATCTTCTGTGTTTTATTAGAACAGCCAAAGTTAGCTAAGGTGCTAGATAGTATAATATTAAAGAAGGAACTAACAAATATGTCTCCCATCAGTATACAGCCATAATAATGTCTCCATTTAGCAACCATCAGAGGTGAAATGTGACAAAATGTATGTGCAATGTGGGGGTGGGAATATACTAGCCATATATGAATGTTGCTTATGGATGCATACTTAGGTGAAAAACTTCAACAGTATTAGGAATTTATTTTAATGACAGCTCACTGTAAAATAATCAGAGAACATGACGGGATAGTCACCCAAAACATGTCTTTGTTATATTGCTGCCTGCTGTTGTTGTGCATTGTCTAGAGTCTTAATAAACTTGAGCAGCCTTCTAAATTCGATAAATAAATGTCTGTGGCATTCTTGGTTCTTTCCAAGCTTGGTAGATTTTTTGTAGATGTTTCAGTGCCCAACTAAGTGACATCATCAGTGCTAGAATAGTTTTGCTCTTTGTTTATATATATGTGGCTTGCCCTGTCAGTGTTAGTGGGAGGGATATGGTAGTTCTTTAATTAGACTGTTTTTTACTGTTTGATTGTTTGTCTGAGTTGGTAGTTGCTTGATTGGATATTATTTACTGCTTGATTGTTTGTCTGGTATTAATCTGCTGTTGATCTCTGCTTAGGCAGGTATTGATTGCTGGCAAAGAGGTATTTCAATATCTCTGGAAGAATATATACTCATTGTTTCTTTATAGGCTGTAACAGTCTAAATATTCCCATTTGCCCAAATAAACTTATTGACAATTGAATCTTTCATTCTATTTACTTTTTAGAGATATGAAGAAAATTCCCCATTGAGATCATCAATCATAGTTGCTTTAAAGCAACCTATTTGCCTGACGTACACAGAGAATCAAAATAGTACTTTTCTAATAGATTAGAAAGAATTACTGAAGCCTGATGAATAATGCACAGTTAATAATTTATCTAACAGCTGTTATCATTTTTCTGTACTCACAAGATATGGAAGCAAGAAAGCAGTTTCATCAATCTGATTATCATTCAAAGGACTAGGCAGCATTATAGGACTTTGAAGATCTATAAATGTGCTATCTTGTGATAGCATTTGAGATTTTAAAAGACAGTACAGCTTCTGGAATTCTGAGATGCCTTCTCTGTCATGGCAAGGGAGTCTTTGGCCATCTTCAATCTCATATTCAATAGCCTAAAGTATATCTAGAAGTATCAGTCTTTTAAATTGCTGAGAGTATCTTGCTCTAGGTCATAGTGAGACTTTGCATATAACTCATAACACAGGTAAGATAAAGGTAAAGGTTTCCCTGTCCAGTCGTGTCCAACTTTAGAGGCAAGGATAGACATTATAACAGCCAGCAGTTACCTTAGTTCTTATTTTTCTCCAAAGGCAGTATGACCTGACCTATAGGAGCTGCCAGGAAGTGAAAATGGAATTGTAATTTCCATTATATATTGGACAATTAAAACGGCCAGCCAGAGTAACATTTTAAACAGCTACCTAACTTCAACTTTATTTTTAAAAATCTCAAGTGACAAATATATATTTGTCACTTGAGATTTTAAAATATCTTAGCAAGATAACTTATGGGTGTAATAAGTTTCAGAATGGCCAAGTATTTCCCTTCTTTTTTCGCTGGGACATTCCCAATTTTAATGCTACCTCTGCAGAAACATTGGTGTTAAAAAGGAGTGGTAGGATTCAGCCAGTTCACACCAGTTCGCGAGAACCGTTTGTTAACTTCCTGAGCAGTTTGGTGAACTGGTTGTTAGAAGAAATCATTAGGGCAGAGAACGGTTATTAAATTATTTGAATCCCACCACCGAAGTGCTCTTATATATACAGCAATTAAAGCAAAGCCAGCTGTTAACAAGGTAGGAAAAATTGCATTAAAAAATGAGTTGAAGCTTTAACAAGTCTTTTTAGTGATAGACTGTTGGGATTTTCATCTGTTAACAATGGAAGGTTTAATTCTAGAATCTGCCACTTTGAAAATGAGCTAGAAACTAATGGGAGCAGAAATCAATTAACAAGGCCAGCTCCCCAACCAAAGACAATATGTACACTCTTATTTGACTGGAGATTGATAGTGTCTTTCATTATCGGATACAAAAAGTCGAGTTACCCCCACTGCTAAAATACTGATCAAACAACATTGCAGTAGGTTTTGTTTCCAAAACATAATAGCCAAGGCGTGATATAATGAGAAAAGCACCAGGTGTCCTGGAAAGTTCAAGACTACCATGAAGAGCTATCCTTATTGTGTGAAATATAAGAGGAAGCTTTGATAATTGACTCTCCGGGACAGTAAATTACAGAGCTGTGCCACATGCTCATTAGATTTGCTGCGGATGGCCACAGCCAGTCCATCTTTCCTCCTGTGTAACAGATTTCTTTATAGACTCATAGAATTGGAAATGACTCACAGGTCATCTACT